TGTGTGTGTGTGAGAGAGATCAGAAGTTGATTTCTCTGTAGTAGTCAGATTGTTGACGCACTTGGGTATAAAAACACATTTTTCCCCCACAGTGTTTTACAATTACATTCAAGAAACAAAAATACATTTTACTAAGATAATAAAAGTGGTGGAATATATCAAAGTAAAACTATTTTGATTTACGTGTCAAAACCTGGTTCAGTCCTGATTTACACCTAGTTTATACCTGGTTTGAGCTACTACTTAAGAAGAATTTGATAGTTTTATTAAGAAAAAAATACTACTTTCACCACTGATCATTTTTAAAACATTATAAATAAAATGTCTCCTGAATGATTCAAACTAACCTGAGACAGATGGACAGGCGCTCATCAGCTGAAATCGAGTGCCTGTAGTTGGTGTCCTGGCGAGTGATGCGGGCACCGATGCGGGTCAGGAGCTCATCAAACTGGGCTCGGGTGAGACGAAAATAGCGCTGAAAGCGACCCTCGTCAGTGCACAGCTCCTGGAGTAGGTGGTGAAACTCACCAAAYTCAGAACGCCTCTGAATTATCTGGTGAATCCAAACACGGCGCCGAGGCGCTCTCCGACGACGGGTTCTTGCTCTGAGTAAACAAAGCAACCCACTCTCTCAATTTCATCCACCATTGTACATACAAAGACCGGCAGAGATAGCAGGCGACTCTACGCCAGATCCGTTTTCGTACCGGCAGATCCGCGTATCAGTCACATCTGTTTTAGAGCCAGCCCCCAAATCTAAGGGCGGGAGTTACAATAGGCTCACCTACGGACTGGACTCGGTGAAACGGAAGCGCCACTTTTTTACCCCTCCGTAAGTCGTCAGAAGAAGGAGTGGACTACACATCGTCATTTGAGCAGAAGAATTTAGAAATTAATTTCACTTTTTAAGGTTTTACTTCTTTAAGGTAAGCCAAAATTGTCACAACGTTATTAGAAAAAAATATTTGTTAAATATATTTATTGGCATCATGATGTATGGACATTAATTTAAAATCTTTGTGTTCACTGAAACGCTGTGGAGAGTTTCTGTTTGTGGTCAGTAAGAAAGGAAAAAAATCATAAGTAATTACATAATTAGACTAAAAACGGACAAATTTAACTAGCTAGTGGTTAGCATTATGAATTATGTTAGCATTGTTGGGGTTTTGGCTAGGTGAGCTTACATCCATTTTAAAAGCTGTATTTACTACGTGATTATATTATGTAGACCGTTTTTAAATCGATTTTAAATTTTAAAACTCTATGAGCATATA